ATTGAGTTTTAGGAAGATTCCCAATGTTCACAACCGAGTTTCCAAGAGCATATTGAGAGCAGAAACTGAATGAGGGCAGAGAAACCCGTCTTTACTGTATTCACCACTAAATTCAAGCGAACTCAGCACTGCCTTTGATGACTGCTGCTTCTCCGCAGAGTTCAGGTTTCTACTCGCAATTCCAACACAGATGCTCCCTCTTCTCAAATGTTGGCCTCCACTGGCTGTAACGTTACACTCTGTTCTTAGCTTGTTCTCTGAACCATTATATGAGGGTGATGATGAGCCATTAAGTGGACATTTTATATCTTCTCAACATGAATCCCATAGGCTGTCATGAATTATTCTTCTGGTCATGGTAACTGCATTTTCTTGGCCTGTTCATTACTAGTAATATTCAAAGCCATTTCATTTAAATCTTTGATGTTTCATTTTTTTGTTGTGTTGACACTTTCTCTTCTACTGAGTCTTCCCACTAGGATTATGACATGACCTAGTACCCAGGCTCAATTGTCATTAGTAATAACCATATATATCAAAATCTATACATTCTTTTCACAGCAGACATAATTTTCTCTTTTCTGGGGATGAACACACACTGCTGAACTACTCCACTTATAAGAACATGTGGACAATTATGACATTTTCATTTACTTGAGTAATAAGTTATATCATCCTCCCTTCAAATTCTTTACCCCCAGGAAGACCTGGACAAACTATTTTGTATCTGTTCAAACCATAAACTCAGAACCACATGGTGAGTAAAGCTCACCTGGTTCTGGACATTGGGTACATCTGTTCCCCTCCAGTGTCCCACAGCACCTCAGCCACCTGTCCAGGTTCTATCAAGAAAGTTTTACCTGAACAGTAAAGGAAACAATTGAGTGTAGAGAGAACCTACAGATGATAGACAATATTTGAAAACTATTCATATGACAGGGGATTACTATCAAGCATATAAAATAAACTCAACTCAACTGCAGATAATAATGTGATTAGTAATGGGTGAATAACATGAATAAACATCTCTCAAAAGAAGACATGCAAAGGGTAGATAGATAGATATGTTAGTATATATACCGATATCTATTGCTAGAAATTCCTAATATTCAGGAAAATGCAAATTCACAATGAGGTGTCTTTTCATCCTCATCTTTGCTAGAAAGTTAGAAATGCAAAACTAACTAACTAAATAAATAAGTAAGCAAGTAAGTAAGTAACAGAACCTGGCCAGGATGCATAGAAAGGGAAACTGTTATAGGCCACTGGTGGAAATATAAATTAGTACAGCCGTCACGGGAAAAAATAGAACCACCATATAATTCAGCATTCCAACTGCTGAGTATATATCTATTTAAATAATTAAAAGAAAAAACTAATATTGAAGAGACACATGTACACCCATGTTTATTGCAGCACTAATCAAAATAGCTTAGATATGAAATCAACATATGCACCCATCAACAATGAACAGATAAATAAAATGTGATATATTTACACAATGGAATATTATTCAGTCTTAAAAATGCTATTTGAAGAAAAATGGATGGAACTGGACACCATTATGTTGAGTGAAACAAGACAGACACAGAAAAATAAATACTGCCCTTCTCAGTGTTATGTGGAAATTTTAAAAAGTTGATATTCTAGAAGTAAATAGGAGAGTTAGTGGTTATGAGATGCCGGTAATGGGAGGAGACTGAGAGATAAGAAGTGGTTTGTTAACAAATGCACAATTACAGGTAGACAGGAGGGGTACACTCTAGTGTCCTACAGCGCAGTAGGCTGACTACAGTTAACAATATATCGTACATTTTATGTTTACAAGCAGTCAGAAGAGAGGATTTTCTATGCTACCAACACAAAGAAATGTTAGTGTCTGAATTCATGAATTTGCTCATTGTTCTGACTTGTTCATACCACATGGCACACATGTATTGAAATACCACACTGTACCCCATAAATATAAACAGCTATTATGTGCCAACTTAAAAAAGTCCCTTTAATTAAAAAGGATTTTATTGGCATGCATTACAAATGATTCAACACAGAGCCAGGAAAAAATACCATTTTTATTTGAAATAGTGAATTTCCTAACAACGTAGTTACATTCATTTGCACCAAAATGTTTATTTGATCATGGTAAGCGTAGACAGACTTACCCATAAACTAACATAATTTCAGACTTCTACTTAATACTGTAAATGCAAATAATTTTAAAACAACTAAGTAAAAAAAATAATGAAGTTGACAAATGTGAGCGTGGTGTGTGATGTGTGAGCTTTTTCTTGTGCACCACTCTGTCCACGGTGGGTGTGTGGCCTGTGTGTCTGTGTCTGTTTCTGTTTACTCTGCTTCGGGTTCTCCGTGATTCTCAGATCTGTAGTTCAGTGTCTTTCACAAAATTTGTACCATTTTAGCCATTATTTTTTTCAAGTACTTTCTCTGTATTTATAATTTTTCCTTTTCAGATTTAAAGTGTACATAAAGTATACTTTTTGATATTAATGTTTAGCTTCTTTCCTCACTGTGTTTTCCTTTGCAATTTACTTTGTGAAATATCTAGTGACATTTTAAGTGCATGGTTTCATTTAAAAGCTGAGCCAGCTCTGCTGAGGAGGGTGCCCAAAGCTTGCTGAATGTTTCTACTGCATTGCTTCTGATTTCGTTTGCATTTCCATTTGATTCCTTCTTAGCGTTTTCATCTCTCAGTTCCCTGTCTAGTCCTGCATTATGTCCACAGTTTAAGAGATTCTTACATATTAATTATAGTTCCTTTACATATCTTATTTAATTAAATAGTTATAATATCTGTATCATTTAAAAATCTCATGGTGATCATTCGTTTATGACAACTTTGGTATTTCTCATTAATATATGTAATCATTGTTGACAGCCACACATGTTGGGTTGGACTGTTGATATTGGCTTACTATTTGATTTTATGCATTTTCTGCCTGTTTTTGACCACACTTTATCTTTGCCGGGCCTTTATTGTGGAAGAGTCTGTGAAACTTATCAGAGTTACATTTGCAATTTTGCAGTGGATGTCAGAGTTAAAGTATTTTCTTCTGTGTCCACCAGAGACTTCAGATCCTCCAGTGATAATGTTGTTTTTCTTTCCTGCTTGACTTCGCCTCTTTACCTTGTTTCTTCCTCCAAAGAATCATGTCCAGCTCCCTAGGGTGGATTAAAATGTTATTTAACTGACAATTGTGAAATTGGTGGAGAGCAATAGAATAAAGGGAGATTTTCTGACATTTCATGGGTTCCTATTGTGATCCCGAGTCTGGGTTTGAGCTTTCTAGTGTTTCTGAACTTCCTCCAGATGAGATGTTGGTCTGTGTGTTCTCGCTCTTTTTCCTCAGGCGGAGGCCTCTTGTTTTCCCCAGTTGTTGCCTCCCACAGCTCCACCGTTCTCCTTTGGTGTTATCACATTCGAGATTTGCTTACCTGACCTGCAGATTAAGGCTCTGATAAATAAGAAAGAGAGGGGAGGTAGTTCTCAGTAGAATTTAGCTGAAGAACTCATTTCCCATCTCAGTTCCTAAGGGGTTGCAACAATGCCCTTAAGATACTGGTTTTGGTGGCTTGCCCTGCAGAGTGATTTCTCAGTTCTGCCATGGGGATACTGGAGGTGGGTCTGAATGCTTTTCAGAAGTGTGGGCTCTTTTTTTCTCCCAGACACGCATGTTGGGACAGAAAGATTTTTCGGACTGTCTGCATTTTTGGAAAAAGGAAGTCAAGAGGATAGGAAAACTCTTCAGTCTATGGTCCCTTAGAAATTCACACTACAACACATTTTCCACCCTTGACTTCAAGCAATCCATTATACATGTGTGTTTATATCTTGTAATAGACGACATTTTGAATGCCATACTCTGCTTCAGCTCAGCTCATACCCTACCTTTCTTACCCTCTACAAAAACTTTCCTCTCTCTCGATTCCACATTTGATGTTTACCTTAAAACTTCAAGTATCCAAAATTTTTTTTAAAAAATTGGCCCCTTGCGGTGGCTTATGCCTGTAATCCCAGCACTTTGGGAGGCCGAGACAGGTAGATCACTTGAGGTCAGGAGTTCAAGACTAGCCTGGCCAACATGGTGAAACCCTCTAGTAAAAATATATTTAAAAAATTAGCCTGACGTGGTGGCAGGCACCTTTAATCCCAGATACTCGGGAGGCTGAACCAGGAGAATCGCCTGAACCCAGCAGGCAGAGTTTGCCGTTCGTGCCATTGCACTCCAGCCTGGGCGACTGACTGAGACTCCATCTCAAAGAAAAAAAGAAAAAAAAATTGCAAAATTCCAGCTTCTCTGTTTATATGTTATTGTTGATGTCATTGTTGTAAAAAAATAAGTAACTATATTAGTCATCTATGTCCATTTCCAGGTTGTGTAGAAGATTTTTTAGTAAGACCCAGAGTAATAAAAGAATGCAAATATTGTTACGCTGCTTACTAGAGAAACAAAGTATGATAAATGTGTTCACTGGAATACTACCCATCATTTATAATAAGTTAATGCCTGAGACACAGAACAACCACGTAAAACATCCAAGTATTTACGTTGAGTAAAATAAGCCAAACAAATAAGAAAATATACTATGTTACTCCCTTTTTATAAATTCTGATAAATAAAAATTTATCTAAAGTAGTATAATGAAGATCAGCAGTTGCCAGGGAAAAGGCTAGAAGAAGGGAAGGGGAGAGGAGGAGGAATATAACAGAACAAGAGGAAATGTTGAGAATTCATTCGTCAACTTTCTTGATAATGATTACTTATATCATGTTTATTAATTGGACATTTTAAATATGTGAAGTTTATTATCTTTAGATTAAGGCTCATAAAATGTATTACAAGTCAACACATTGAAACTTAAGGAAGGAGTAATAAAAAGACAGAAAAATATGTTAAATATCAGAAATACCTGAAAATTAATGTGCCTGGATCCTAATTCTCCCCATATTTCCAAGTGAGAGCTGGAGTGCAGCAACATCGCACATGCTCTTATTACAGAAAGTGGGTTCTCAAACCACACCGGGCACATCCAGCTTTGTACTGAAGTTGGTTTAGGGAGCAGTCAGAGCCACTGATGAGGAGCACAGGGTCAGATACTGGGGTTCACTCATCCCAGACACGAGCTCCTAGATGCATACAGAGCCCCCTCCATGTGTGGGTTCACTTCCACATTTGTAAATGGAGAAAATATTGACTCCTACAGAACATAATTTACACGAATATTTAAACATGAAATAGGGTGATCAAGGCAAAGTGTTTATCACAGCACAATTTCATAACAAGGCAGCATATTTTCCAAATACCATCATTGTCCGCAAACTTCTCAGGGCACCGTCTTCTGATCTGGGTACAGCCTACTCCTCAAGAGTCCCACCCGAGGGCTTGTTATATAGTAGGAGACATGCAAATAGGGCCCTCCTTCCACTGATGAAAACCAACCCAACCCTGGTCCTGTAGCTCTGAGAGAGGAGCCTTAGCCCTGGATTCCAAGGCATTTCCACGGGGTGATCAGCCCTGAACACAGAGGACTCACCATGGAGTTGGGGCTGAGCTGGGTTTTCCTTGTTGCTATTTTAGAAGGTGATTCATGGAAAACTAGAGAGATTAAGTGAATGTGCATATGAGTGTGAGAAACAGTGGATTTGTGTGGCAGTTTCTGATTAGGATGTCTCTGTGTTTGCAGGTGTCCAGTGTGAGGTGCAGCTGGCGGAGTCTGGGGGAGGCTTGGTACAGCCTGGGGGGTCCCTGAGGCTCTCCTGTGCAGCCTCTGGATTCACCTTCAGTAGCTACGAAATGCACTGGGTCCGCCAGGCTCCAGGGAAGGGGCTGGAGTCGGTCTCAGTTATCAGTGGTGATAGTAGTTACACACACTACGCAGACTCTGTGAAGGGCCGATTCACCATCTCCAGAGACAACGCCAAGAACTCGCTGTCTCTTTAAATGAACAGCCTGAGAGCCGAGGACACGGCCGTGTATTACTGTGCGAGAAACACAGTGAGGGGAGGTGAGTGTGAGCCCAGACACAAACCTCCCTGCAGGGAGGCGGAGGGGGCGGGCGCAGGTACCGCTCAGGACCAGCAGGGGGCGCGCGGGGCCCACAGAGCAGGAGGCCGGGTCAGGAGCAGGTGCAGGGAGGGCGGGGCTTCCTCATCTGCTCAGTGCTCTCCCTCCTCACCAGCACCTCAGCTGTCCCCAGGGCTCCTCTTTCTTTATTAGATGTGGTTCTGCTTCCTCACATCCTCACTGCAGGCAAGAAAGGAGGGAGAAATTTCTCTGTTTACCACTGAGGTTTTTAACAGTCACTGGCACCTTTTTTTTCCAACAAATTCCCACAAGACCTATTTAACCTTCTTGACAAGCAAAATATTCCAAGACTTCTCACCATCCCTTGACTGGCGTCTTCGACTGCATCGTGTCCTGCTCATAAATTCATATGCTGAAACCCCAGTCCCAGTGGCTCTGTATTTGGAGAGAGGGATTTTAAGAAGGCAAGTAAGTTAACTGAGGTCATAACTGTGGGACCCTAATCCAGTAGGATTCTTGTCCTTATGAGAAGTGGAAGACATGAGAGACCTCTCTCTCCACATGCACACAGAGGAGAGGCCATGTGAGGACGCACTGCATGAGAAGGGGGCCCTTTGCAAGCCTGGAAGAGGCCTCTCAAAAACCTAACCCTTTCTGCACCTAGATCTTGGACATCAAAGCTCCAGAACAATAAGAAAATTAGTATTTGTTATTTGAAACAACCTAGTCTGTGGTATCTTCTGATGGAAAGCCAAGCAGATTCACAGATACAATTGTGTTAGCTCCGTCTCCTGGAGGGACAAGCAGCCCACCAAGGCTGGACACATCTCTCAAATTATTTTTATAAAGAAAAATAGATCCAAGAAGAAAACCCCACCACATATCTGCTGAGTCATTTACTTAGCAGGCGTTTCTGAGATCAGCCCTGGGAGCTGTGTTCTAGGTCATGTCTCTCACTTTCCACTATGGGAATCCATGTAGATAATGAGAACCAGACAGATGGAGTCCTGATTCCTGCCCACCTTCTGCTTCCCCCAAAGTATCCCACAGAAAACTACTCCAGCATCATCCCTGTGTCTTCTACTCTCTAAAATCCCACTAAAGCTGACCCTAAACCAGGAGCTGTTTGGGGCTGGACTCTTGTTCTCTTCTTCGTAGTCTTCCATAAGGTCCAGGTGCAGAGTAGAGCCTCAATAAAAATTGAACATCAGTTCCCCTAACCCACATCATTCCCTTACATCCTTGTCATGCATCTGTCCTCTGTGGGCACCCAGGGTAGGTTACCCAGGAATTGCCTCAATCTGGCCTCAGTTGATCTTCTGAGACCACGGGTCATGCACATGTACCATTCCAGGTCATGCAGGTTCTACTGCAGGACAGACCTGTGTCCTGTGGGGCACAGACACCTGCTGACCCCGGGTCTTCTCTAATAACTCACACACCTGGTGTTAGTGTATGTTCAGATGGCCTCTCAGTGCAGCACACTAGGGTGATCAGCCTCACAGGTGGCTTTGTCTGACAGTGGACAGAAAATGAGATGGGCAGGCTGGTCACTCCCATTATCGGCGATGTCCAAGTGAATCTTAAATAAATGAAACAAAATTAACAACAAAGGGGAAGAGTAAGTACCTGTATCTGGGAAGTATACAGGGTCCCAGAACTGTACTGGGAGTGGGTGTGAAAGGCCTTTCTGGGTGGAAAATTCTCCAGCGTGTGTGAAAGCTGAAGGAATGATCACTGTGCAGGTGGAGGCTGATGGGGCAGCTGGCAGCTTACATTTCCTGAAGCTGTTCCTGGGTGCGTGATGGTTGGATGGTCCATGTACATGAAAATGAGGGTTGGCCTCATGTAGGAACAAGGAAATTATCCCATGGGAATGGAAGAAAATAAAACCAGAGATGGGCACCCCTGGAGACAGCTCATTAGATTTGGTGGAGGAAAGAAATAAATTTATTCCAATGACCCCAGCATGTTCAGCTAAATATGAGTTGCTTTAGTAGACAGAATTATGAAGGGAAGGGTGAAGGACTTTATAGAAGGAAATAACATAGGATAAATGAAAATAAATCTACACAAATCTATCAAAAGTCAGATGCCAGAGCGGATCAGATGCAGTGACTTCATTACTCCGGGAACCTACCAGTGACACTTGGCATTCCTCTAAGGCAGGTCTAGTGGTGATGAACTTCTCCACTTTTTGCTTTGGGGGACACTTCTCAAACATCTTGCATTACTGAAGAAAAGCTTTAATCCATGTAACATTTTTAGTTGGCAGTGTTTTGGCTTTGTTTTTATTTTCAGCAACTTGAATACAATCCTGAACATCATGAAATTTTGGTGAACAGACCTCACACGACAAAGTTCTCATTAGATTTTAATACTGTATTTTCCCTGCATTTATTCCATTATAGATGTGTTCATGTGTATAAATACCTACCATGGTGATTCAGCTGCCCACAGTGTTCAGTACGGTAACATGCCGTACAGATTGGTTACCTAGGAGCACTATGCTTTCCCACACAGCCTGGGTGTAGCAGAGTATTTCATGTGGGTTTGTGTAAGCACACTCCATGATCATTGCACACTGATAACATTACCTAAGGACACATTGCTCAGATGTATCCCTACCGTCTTTTTGCTGTTGTTGTTGTTTGAGATGGAATCTCACTCTGTCACCCAGGCTGGAGTGCAGTGGCACAATCTCAGCTCACTGCAACCTCTGCCTCCCAGGTTCAAGGGATTCTCCTGCCTCAGCCTCCCAAGTAGCTAGGATTACAGGCATGTGCAACCACGCCCAGCTAATTTTTTTCCCCTAGTTTTAGTAGAGACATGCTTTCACCATGTTGCCCAGGCTGGTCTTGAACTCCTGCCCTCAGGTGATCCACTGAGGTGACTAAAATAAATTTGAAACCCCTGGCTCCTGCATCCTCTAGACGTACTCCACACCCTCTGGTTACACACAAACTATTTTATTTCTCTTTCCCAAGTGGTATTTGCCAAGGCTCATCTCCTCCACTTGGACACTTTGGTATATCCACGTGTGTCCATTCTGGTTCAGCCACGGACACAGAACCGGGAAGACATCATGGATTTTCTAGAGGGAGCTGGCTTGGGGAATCAACGGTTGGAGTAGAAAGCGCCTTTGTCCATGTGTCACAGGCCTGAGGGCCGTGGGCAGGAGGTCAGGAAGAGAGGATGACCAGACGGCTGGGGAAACCAGGATGAACAAAGCCACTTTCCTTCCTGGCGAGGAGGGGCATGGGGAAGCCTGGTGTCCCTGTAGGGAAGAACCACACTCACCTGCCCACTGCTACCGGCCAATGAGGTGACCTGCAGAGCAGCAGCTCCTCCATCACTGACAGTGACTTCCTCCTCCACCAAACCCTCTAGGATCTGTGCTTCCAGGAGTGTGAACTCCAGCAGGCCCCCAAGTTTTCAATGGGTTCATCTAACTAGTGTCTGTGCTCAGCCCCATCCCCAGGCTCCTGCTCTGGTGGTGTGCACAGTGTCACCACAGTGGTGACAGTGACAGCCGGTGCCTGCACTTTCCAGGCCAATAAGTTTGAAAGAAGCAAGTCACAGGGCCAGCCTGGATATGAGGGAATCACAGATTTCCTTCTTGGGGGAAGTGCTGGGAAGCAGCCTTGAGTCCTCCACAGCTCACATGCAGCTGCCGGTGCTCATCCCAGTGGGGGGACACATGAGCCCTCCCCATGCCCAGGATGGAGCTGTTTCAATCACACCAGGATGAGAATGTATCTTCTCTATGGGGGCTTTTGAAGCACAGCTCTCTTGCTCCTGAGATTTGAGATTTATAAAGACAAACCCCACAGAGTGGACCTGCACAAATAAGACAGGACAGGATCTCCAGGACAGACACCCCACATGAGAAGGGACAGGCAGGTCCCATCACTGACACTGGTCCTCAGAAACCCTGAGCAGCTACTCACCTTCCCAGGTCCCCTGTTCCTGATCAGTGCCTGTATCTGCTCCTGAGAAGGTCCCCATCAACAGTCCCCAGGGTTCTGCCCCCTTCCTTGATGTGCCTCTGGGAGTGGGGCTGGCTGGGCTGTGGGTCTGCTGTGACTCTCCCCACAGGTCAGCGGCTCAGTGTGGGCTGCCCCGATTTGGTGGGGCTGGGCTGTGTCTGACCCTTCCAGAAGAAGCCTGGATGCTTCTCAGAGGCATTTGCAGGATCCCAGGTCCTGGAGAACAGGGAAGCCACAGTGTGTGCTGGGCCCCATCTCCAGGTGTAAGGTGTTTGCTGTTGCTCTGCTTGACAAGGGCATATCCCCAGGCCTAGGGGCACTGTGGGTTCACAACCAATGTGCTGGACACAGGGAGAAAGTCAGGTTTCCCTCCCATTACTGTGGGAACTCTAGTCACTCTGTGTTTGTGTGCGTGTGTGTATGTGTGTGTGTGTGTGTGTGTGTAGATTAGGAGTTGTGGAGTGGGCTCTGAGCCCCAGGATTTTGTAGGTTTAGAAATTATCTGATGAGATGTTCATCCGAATGAACTGAAAAGAGATTAGGTGTTCTCCCAAAGCCCCTGGGAGCTCCTGGACTCACTGTGAGTGTGGACTGATCCAGTGATTCCAGAGCTCCAGAGAAGGGGCTCCCTGGTGGTTTCATAGAATCCTTGCTTGGGGTCTTTCTGCAGAGTTCACTGGCTTTCCTACTGCCAATTTACTGTTGTAAGAGATGGTGTCAGCAGTACATGGTGTCACGTGTCACTAAAGGAGCATTCTGAGCCAGAGCACGCCCTCTTCATACTGGGGGGAAATGCTCTAGGAGTCCAGACAGGAGCCTCTCTGCAGTGCAAGGGCTGGGCTGCAGGGGATGCTCAAAGCTCACCCAGTACAGGCTCCAGCCCCAGAGCAGGTGCACAGGAGGCGGGGGAGGGATTTCTCTCAAGATCTGTTTCCTTATTTTAAAAATCTAAAATAAGTATTTGACAAAGACTGCTGAACATTCTATAAATATCCTGTTCCATTGCAAGCATTTATCAAATTCGATGTTGTAATGAAAACCACTTTTACACTGGAGATTTCTAACCATTCTGGATATCTCAGTAGTATGCAGCTGGAGGTTAAGGAAACTTTTCTTTTATATAAATAAGTGCAACTTTTGGAGAAACACAGTCATCCCCCGAATACATTGATGTATTAAAGCCTAGAAATACTTATATTACCTTGGAGCCATTCAAATGTGGGTTCCCAGTGAGGTCCTGTTCTAGGGAAAATTGTTCTCCAGTGGGAGAAGCTCTGTCAACATAGACCTTAGGGATATGGCAGGGCTCACATGGCCTCTAAGGGGATTACAGCTTGAACCCTTAGCAACCTCCATGTGTTACCTCTCTGCTCTTTCTCATGCATTGTCAGGTATGAAATAGGATCACCCATGAATATGCAAATAACTGAGGCAAATATAGCTATCTTTGTGCCCTGAGAGCATCACCCAACAACCACACCCCTCCACAGAAGCCCCTAGATCACAGCTCCTCACCATGGACTGGACCTGGAGGATCCTCCTCTTGGTGGCAGCAGCAACAGGTAAGGGACTCCCCAGTCCCCGGGCTGAGGGAGAAACCAGGACAGTCAACTGAGGCTTCACACACTCCCATCTCCTCTCCACAGGTGCCCACGCCCAGGTGCAGCTGGTGCAGTCTGGTGCTGAGGTGAAGCAGCCGGGGGCCTCAGTGAAGGTCTCCTGCAAGGCTTCTGGATACACCTTCACTAGCTATGGTATGAATTGGGTGCGACAGGCCCATGGACAACGGCTTGAGTGGATGGGATGGATCAACACCAACACTGGGAACCCCACATATGCCCAGGGCTTCAAAGAACGATTTACCTTCTCCATGGACACCTCTATCAGCACGGCATATCTGCAGATCAGCAGCCTAAAGGCTGAGGACACGGCTGTGTATTACTGTGCGAGAGACACAGTGTGGAAACCCACATCCTGAGAGTGTCAGAAACCCTGAGGGAGGAGGCAGCTGTGCTGATCTGAGACAGTGACAGGGACAACGTGGCTGCACCCTTTGTTGATGTAGGGTTATAAACATACATATATATGCACCCAACACTGGAGCACCCAGATATATCAAGCAAATATTATTAGAGTTAAACAGAGAGATAGACCCAATACAGTAATAGCTGGAGACTTTAACACCCCACCCTCAGCATTGGACAGATCTTCCAGACAGAAAATAAACAGTGAAATCTTGGACTAAATCTACATGACAGACCAAATGGACTTAATACTTATTGACAGAACACTTCATCCAACGGCTGTAGGGTACACAGTCTTTTCCTGAGCATATGGATCAGTCTCAAGGATAGACCATATACTAGACCAGAAAATTAGTCATTTTTTAATTGAAAATATATCAAGTACCTTCTCTGATCAAAATGGAAGAAAACTAAAATAAAAGGAATTTTGAAAACTATACAGACACATGGAAATTAAACAACATGCTCCCTAATTAAACAATTTGCTCCCAAATTTAACGATATGCCCAAAAACGGGTTAATAAAGACATTAAAATTTTTTTAATTTATTGAAAGAAAGCAAAGCATATAAAAACCTATGAAATACAGTGAAAGTAGTACTAAGAGGAAAGTTTATAGCTATAAGCCCTTACATTAAAAATGTAGACAACCATAAAATAAACACCCTAGGAATGTCTCTTAAAAAACAGAGAAGCAAGAGCAAATCAAACCCAAACATAGTAAAATAAAAAAGTAAAGAGCAAAACGTTAATATATAAAATTGAAATAAAGAAAACAATACAAAAGATGGATCAAATGAAAAGTTGTTTTTTAAAAAGATGAAAGACATCTACAAACCTGTAACCAGACTAAGAAAAAAAAGAAAGAAGACCAAAGTAAATAAAATCATAAAGAAAAATGGAAATATTACAACCAATAGTGCAGAAAATCAAAGGATCATTAGAGGCTACTAGGAGCAACTAAATGCCAATAAATCAAAATATCTGGAAGAAATAGATGAATTTAGAGATACATACAACCTTGACTGAACCAGGAAGAAATTGAAAACCTGAACAGATCAGTAACAAGTAGTGAGAGTGAAGCCGTAATAAAAGGTCTCCCAGCAAATAAAACCCTCGGGACTTGATGATGTCATCGCTCAATTATGACAAACATTTAAAGAAGAGATAATACCTCATCTCACTCAAAATATTGTAAAGTATTGTAATAATGAAGATGTAATTGAAAGTATGTCAGCTTTTGATTAATGAAGTCACATGGTGATAATGTTTGTATCCTTGAGAAAGCAGACCCTGTGTTGTAAGTTTTAGCAGTTGTAGGTTTGGCAAATAAAGTTCATGTGTTTTTGAATGTTATGCGACTTTTTACTTAAGGATGCAACATATGATTCAGTTTTACTTAAAACTTTCCAGAAGATTTTTGGCAGTAAGGACAGTGCAGCATTTGAGTAACACTAAGGAACTAAACAAGTTATTTTGTAATTGCTCCTGTGAGGTATGCACATTGCTCACTTAATATTGAAATTCAAATGTCACAGGTGGGAAAATCAGAATAAAGCAAATTTTATGAACTGCCATGGCTGTAGTTTTTGTCAAGCAAGTAATTCATGTCAGCAAGAAAATAAACACAACAAGAAAACATCTTCAGATCCAGGGGGAGGCTGACCTCTGCCCTCTCTATTATAAGTACAAGTTGGTGTCACATCCAAATTATTTTTCAGGCTCTAGGGCATAAAATGCTTTTGGACAGTGAAGCTAACAGCTCTCCCCTCAGGCCTGGCTGAGGTATGTGGGGAATGCAGGCTTGTGTTCATGAAGAAGATGACATTTTTGTGTCTTCTCCTGTGCCTGGAGACAGCTTCGCGGGGTGAGTGACTCAAATATGGGTCTGTAAGTCAAGCAAAGAGAACAGGTTCAGTCCAAAACTCAGCATATTCTTAGAGGCACCCATCGCCCCATCACATGGGTGAGAAATTTTTGAAACAAGTGAAGTGTGAGTTCACAGTAAGCGATGCAGTTATCGTATTTCCATGAACTTTCAATAACAAGACAAGGGCTTCTATAGATCACTCATGCACAAACATACAAATGTGTTTTTGCACTTGCGAGTGTCTAGAGAAAAGGAATCTTTTAAGGAAACTTCTTCAGGTTACAGAGATGAGTTTAAGTTGGAGATCTCACAGGAGTGTGTCTTTGAGTGAATACTGGCCTATTAATTAACTAGGTCAAAATTTCCTCTTTGTAGTAGCCTTCCAATTATGTAGATTTCTGAGTTGTGAAACATAAACCCAAGGGCTGACTTACTGGAATTTGACTGCTGTGTTGATAAAATTTCTGAGATGGTTTCTTCCAATGATTTAAGAATAGTTTTCCTGTGTCTTTACTCCAGGGAATGAATTTTCACAAGGTATCGGGACACCATGTTTCAGGTGCTTTAGTTAAAGAGACTGACTTCTTGGAGGCAGGCCTCTTTCTTCTAATAATGAGCTCACTTCTTCTGCAAAGCATTCAGTCTGTGGCTCTATTGCCATGAATCATGAAGCTTTTACACTCCAGTGCACTAAACATAATGCCCTTCGATTAAATATCCATTGGCATTGACATGAATTGGCCACTCTTGGCTATGTGTCCTATGTTATGAGCCCAACATGTCAGTGGACTGAGAATCCTCTATTAGCTGCCTCTGTGTGTAGCACTGAGCAGATTGACAATCCTCAGAGTCATCCATGGAGAGTCCTGAGGTTTATGGGGTTCTTGGAGACATTCTGGTGAGTTGAAAGGAGAAACAGGATTGTGGGCTGCCAGCCATTTCAACAACAATGGGTGTCATTACCATCTAAGTGTAAAGTCTACATCATTCAGAATACCCTCCATGACAGGCTGACAGGAAGAAATCCAACCTCACAATGGCTCCATGACAACTCTTTAGTATACGTGGTAGTGAGGCTTTTTCAGGGAAGAAATGTCCACTCCAGTGTGTCCCTGATGCTGCTCTCAGCTAAAGTAAACTGTGGACTGGACCCAAGATTCTCTGAGATCAATGTGAGGATTACTGCTGCTCCAATATTTTTAAACAGGCATGTGGCAATTTAGATGAGCCCAGCTGTGTGGTTGGTTATATGTATATCTGAACTAAATAAACAGAAAGGGCATGTCTGAACTAGTGTGAGGGTGAGAGATCTCATAGACCCCACACCCCACACTCTTGTTTTTATTTCCTCCAGGAACCTTCAGGTGTTTTGGGTGAAAATCGACATAGATCTTTTCTTGGATAAGTCATCAAAATTCCTAATCTTCGAGAAATACACAGAGAAATTTTTCCAGATAGACAATCCAGGGGAAAGACGTATCTAGAACATTATCTATGTGGGGTAAGGTAGTCCATCTCCATTACAGACCCCTCCCAGCAGCTTTCCTTTATCATGAAACTGGATAAAATTAGCCAATAGAAAAATAATCCTATAATGTTGTAGCCAGAAAAGGGAAAGCATCAGTTCCATTTCTGGACACTCTGGGTATAGGTCACAGCCCAGAGAAAAAAAGACGACAGAATTATTAAGATTCAGTTGTAAGAACATATAATACTTCCAGGATGCACACTTTGTTTTCTCACCAGGATAGCTAATCTGGGTTAAAGAGGAAAGTGTGACAATGCACAGACTCTGTCTGGGGAGGAGAACATAGGGAAACTGAAAGTCAATGGCAGAGACTATGACAAGGACAGTAAGGAAATCTGAAGCCTCTGACATAAATTTTTTGAAGATAAGGTCTTGGCAAATCCATTGACCTCAGATTATTTTATCATAGGGAATTTTCAGGGTTCCTAGCAGAGAAAAAAATGCATGCACTTGGCCAGGCACGGTGGCTCACACCTGTCATCCCAGGATTTTAGGAGGCCAAGGCAGGTGGATCACGAGGTCAGGAGATTGAGACCTTCCTTGCTAACATGGTAAAACCCCATCTCTACTAAACACACACACACACACACACACACACACACAATTAGCTGGGCGTGGTGGTGGGCGCCTGTAGTCCCAGCTACTCAGGAGGCTGAGGTAGGAGAATGGCGCGAACCCGGGAGGCAGAGCTTGCAGTGTGCAGAGATTGGGCCACTGCATTCCAGCCTGGGCGACAGAGCAAGACTCCGTCTCAAACACAAAAAACAAACAACACAAAAAGCAAAACAAAACGAAAAACAAACAACAACAAAAATGCATGCACTTCCCAAGTCTCCACTTGTATTCTGTTTGCCTTAGATCTCTAAGACAAATAATAATAATAATAATAATAAGCCTAAGCCTACTGTCAGTGTAGGAGGCACTTTTTATAGGCTAGAAACTAGGAAGAAAGAAAAATGTGTGTTACTGGAATAGTAGATACAAAGTTGGTTTTATTCTGAGTGTTTTTGAACCTGCAGGTATTCTTAGATGTAACATTCAACTGCAAGAGCTCAAGGAAGAAATAAGGCACTCCCAAAATCCTACAAGTTTTTGTATTCATTTCGTGTCCACTGATTCAGGAAATGTGAAGCTTCAGAGAAGGGGCTCCCTTCTGTGTCATAGAATCTTTGCTTTGCATCTCCCTGTAGAGTTAAATTGGTTTAATAAGGCTCTTCAATTCTTAAAAGACATGGTGTCAGCAGTACATTGTGTCACTGAAGGAGTGTTCTAAACCAGGACACAGCTACTTCATGCTGAGCTAGAGACTGTGCGGGGAAATGCCTGTGGGCTACAACAGAAACCTCATTGCAAGGCAAGGGCTTGGCTGGAGGGGGGCACTCGGGAGCCGCCAAGCACAAGTTCTAGCCCTAAAGCAGGTGCACAGGAGGCTGGGGAGGAGGTTTTCTTCAGGGTCTGGGTCTTCCTTTGTCAGGAAAAAAACAACCTAAATTAACTGTTCAAGAAGTCGCTGATGTGCCTTTAAATATCCTAGTACATCCAAACCATTCATATAACTTAAGGCAATAAGAACTATTTTTTCAAGTGGATTTATAGGACTATAATATCTTAATAGTGAGAATATGAAGGATGGGCATGTTTTTACTAATTCAATGGGTACCAATTAGTTGAAGAAACTATATTCCTATGAATAAGAAATTCAGATTTCATTGTTAAGTAATGTTGCCTACACTGTGTGAGTGACAGGGCAGTGATGGAGCTGAGGGTGTGGCAGGTTCACAACCTAGTGAGTCAAAAATCAATATGTAAAGACAGGGATCCATGGATATGAACTGGAAGTATGGAAATACTTTACAAAAGTCTAATAAATGGAGTTGAAAAGTAACCCAAAATTATTCAAAACACAAATTCATTGACAGTTATTTTGGGATTAGAGAGTTCATAAAGAACTCCAAACTCCTGTTACATCTTCTGATTCCCATTGTTCCTGAGATGAGAAAATCAGCTCTAATTATGCATCACAGGGCAAATCTGTAAAACAAGTGTTTCTATTGAAGACCCTGGGGGATCAGGACATCAGACGGGTGCTGGAGACACTGTCTCAGGAGCACCCAGTAGATCTCAGAGGGACCTGCTGGACACTCACATGGGACATCAGCGTCACTTTCTTAGTCACCAATGAGCTGTTCTGGTACCTGACAGGTCCAGGATAGGGCCAAGGCACATGCCCAGTGTCATAGACTGTGATGGTGCCCAAAATAACCCAGCTGGCCTCTATACTAATCAAATGTAGGTTCACAGTGAGGAGCCTGTTCTGAGGGGGCTGATTCTTCAGTGAAAGGACCTCTGCCATTAAATGTCGGTAAATAGAGCAGGGCATGCATTTCATTAAGCAGGATTAAGGCTTAGACCATCCGTATCTCACTCTTGTAAGGCTCATGTGTCATTTATTTTCCCTTTCTTATCATGGATCAGGCTTTGAGCTATGAAATGCTCTCTCATGAATATGCAAATAACCTGATACACTGAGGTAAATATGGATATGTCTGTGCCCTGAGCACATCATCTGACAGCCACATGCCTCTTCTAGAGAATCCCTTGAGAGCTCAGCTCCTCACCATGGACTGGACCTGGAGGATCATCTTGGTGGCAGCAGCCACAGGTAAGGGGCTCCCAAGTCCCAGTGATGAGAAGGGGATTGAGTCCAGTTCTGAAAGATCTCATCCACTACTGTATCCTTCCCACAGGTGCCCACTCTCAGGCCCAGCTGGTGCAGTCTGGGGCTGAGGTGAAGAAGCCTCTATCCTCAGTGAAGATCTCCTTCAAGGCTTCTGGATACACCTTCACCAACAACTTTATGCACTGGGTGTGACAGGCCCCTGGACAAGGACTTGAGTGGATGGGATGGATGAACACTGGCAATGGTAACACAAAATATGTACAGAAGTTCCAGGGCAGAGTCACCATAACCAGGGACACGTCCATGAGCACAGTCTACATGGAGCTAAGCAGCCTGGGATCTGAGGACACGGCCGTGTATTACTGTGCAAGAGACACAGTGGGAACACCCACATCCTCAGAGTGTCAGAAACCCCAGGAAGGAGGCAACTGCGCGGGCATGGAGGAGATGACAAAGATTATTAGATTAAAACTTTCTTAGAAAATAACATTAAGTCATTAAAGAAAAGGAACAATATAAATGTGATTTGATAAATCTTAATTCTTTGAAAGATTTTTCATACACCATTCATTATGTAAACAAATTTCAGGGATTGGAGAATGAATTGAATTAATGTAACTGATATAGAATTTCCTTTGTAGGCATCTTTGTAAACATCAATTTCTGAATCACTGCTGTAAATATTTTGGAACACACAAATAAATCAAATGTTAACTCTTCTTTTATCTCTATTTTAAAAATGCCCCGCAAAATCTCATGTTGTGCATGTAGCATTTTGAATTCCCACCATCAATGCATGATAGTTCTTGGTTTCCCACATTCGTATTGCCATTTATCATTATGAGAATTGTGTGTTTTAACCATTCTAATAGGTGAGCAACGGTATCTAATTTTTATTTACATGTACATGTCCCTAACAAAAAATTCATACTTAAAAATGTTAAAATAATCTTTGGTGAGGTACCTCGCCTGATATTTGGTTCATTTTTAACTGCATTGTTTTCTTTTGATTAGTTATAAATTAACTTGCATATTGATGATAAAAGTTATTTAACAAACTAAAATAACTCATTTAACAAATTTGTGACTTGGAAATATTTTCTCCAAGTCTGTGGCTTTTACTCCCTTATCAGCATGTATTGCAGAAAAATATGTGTGTGTGTTTATACAAATTTAGATTTTAAAAACGCAAAATTTTATTCATCCACAGATCATGTCATTGGCATTATTTCTGAAACCCCATTATAAAATACAATGATAGTGATTTTTTTCCATGTCTCTAATCTCAGACCACAATCAATTCATGAATGTTTAAGCTTCACTTACTTGATTACAGGACTATCAAGCTAACATATTTGGAATACTTCTGTAAAGAGATGTGTTCTTCCCATAATTTATTTATTTAATCATCTATTAATATCCATATTAGTTTACAGATGTCTATTTCATGTCCTGAAGACAATTCATGCTATATTATTCATTTTATTGTTCATGTCACCACAGCTTTATTAGATGCTGGGAGTTCATTTAGTTTGGATCCTGCATCCTTACAGCACACTTCATCCTTTTGTTTTTGAACACTTCACTGTTTCCTGATATTACAATAAATTCTAAGTTCATTTTCTATATTACCTTTTTCATACATAGGATTAGCTGTTTTTCCTAGAGATTATTTCCGAGGTTAAAGAATCTTGTTAAAATTAAAAATTGTGATACTGGGTATGTGTGTTGTTAATGTGTTATAAATACTTCTAGGACCTCTCAACCTATAGGTCTAGTAAATGTACATGTTTATATGAACCCAGGTTTATGGACTCATCGAAACTACTTATGTATCTAATTTTATGTAACTTCATTACATTAAAAATGAGAACACACTGGTCTCTCCACCCAACTATACTACCACATGGGCATTTCTAGCCTTCCTTCATTGACTGTCCATAACCATCCACTGCAAGGTGAAGATGCCTATCCCACCAACTGTCACATTCTTACTTAGCTGCACAAGCTCAGGACACATACATAGTGGTATCAGAAATGTAACACTCATTGGAAACATGTTTATCTAGTAGAATGGAGTGTTTATGTGCAGTTTCTTTACATTTTCAATTTATAGAATTTCCTCATTTTCAAAGTTACTTAGGTCAGCAAATTCATTTTCCACTTTCTTCAGTGAATTCATTTCAATTACACTGAATGTCCTTTATTTGAAATTCTGTAAAATCCCAAACTATAGTCAACTAAACATATAGAGGATATTCAAGGAATTTAGAGAGTGGGTATAAAATAAGTTAAAATGGCACAGTTTAAGAAGAGTAAAACTATTTTTGGTGATATACAATGGTTGACATGATGCAATTAATTTGTCAAACCTCATAATTTTGTGGTGGAAAATATAAACCTAAATATATTCAATTTTTAAGAAAGTATTTAGCAGTTCATTAACCCCAGGATTAAATGCAGACTGTATAAAATAATCTAATAAATTATTTGCTGAGGGTGGGGATATCATGAGACATATGCAACAAAGAATGAAGTAATTTTCCTCATTTGCATATAAGATGTTTCCATTCACTAAAAAATTTTAATTAAAAAAATCAATTTTCTATGTGACCCATGTGTTTTCTTCCTGACAAGCAAATAACCCAGAGGATTCTCTTCTTTCCTTGGTTGAGAAAGATTTTCCCCAAACTTCACCTCAGTTCAGGCATACGCTGTCCTTGAATGGGCGTTTACCCTCTGACGGGTACACACACCTGTCAACATGTGGGCTCTTCTGTCAGATAAACACACCTGTATTCATGTGGATTCTTCCCTCAGACAAACACACATGTCCCCACATAGACTCTTTCCTCAGACCACCACATATGTCCTTACATTTACTTTCCTCAGAAAAGAGACATTGCCTCATGTGGACTCTTGTCTCAGACAAGCAAACATGTCTCCATGTGAACTCTTCACTCAGATAAGTACACATATGTCCACATTGACTGTTTCCTGACACAAGCACATATACCCAATTTTGAGCTTTTTGTGGCAAAATGAATTCAAAATAATAATAATTATAAACCCCAGCCCTAACAGTTTGTAGATCTGCATATTTTTCATTGCAACTTGACTTTGATTCATTGTCAGAAACAGTGGTTTGCAGCTGTAAATGCACTGATTACAGAGAGATGTCCATTTTCTCTGGAAATGTATTTTTTTGTTCTTACTGGATGTATTTGCAGATAATGTTTGCTACCGTGAAGATACCTGAACAGTGTTCACATTAGATAATAAGAAAGAGTAATGTGCAGATTAACCCTGTGCATCCAGACCCAGGAATCCTTTGAGCCTGCCCTCCCTGAAATATAGACACAGAGGAAGGATGAGCAATGCTGAGTGGTGCACCCATGACAACAAAAAGAAAAACATGGAAATATGCCCCCTCTCCTTCTCATGAAAGGCAGCTCATCTCCTGTTCCTTCAGGCACTGGTGAGGAGTCACGCCATGTCTTTGCCCTTCCTCAGTGTCCACACAATGGAGTCTGCACTGACCTGGGCTTCCCTTCTCATTATCCTCAATATTAGTGTCCATTGTAAATCAGGTCCAGCTGTGGTTGCTTCTCATGGGGCTGTTCTCAGTCTGTTTCCTCTGTGTTAGCAGAAGTCCTGTGTGAAGTTCAGTGGTGGCATCAGAGTGGGAAACATTGCACAACCTAGTGGTTCACTAAGACTTTCCTGCAAAGCATCTGGATTCACCTTCACTGGCCACAGCTTGAGTGTGGTCTGGCAGGCTTCAAAACAGGGATTGCTGTGGGTGGCAACAGTGAGTGATGAAGTGGGAGGTCTCAGGGTTACTCTTCATGAGGTCACATAAATTAATAGTCCCAAGGGACAGCCTTTCACTTGTATTCTACCTTAAAACGACCAACCTGAAAGTCAAGGACAGGGCCATATATTGGAGTGAGGGACAGAGGAGAGGCAACATCTGCGTGAACCCAGACACAAAAATCTCTGCAGGAAGACAGGAGGGAATTGTGTGATAGATGCTGCTCAGAATCACCACGGGGCACTCAGAACCTCCAGGGAGTGGTCAGGAAACAAAGGGGTGCTTAGGACCTCCAGGGAGCTCTCAGGACACCTGGGGGCGCTCAGAACCACCAGGGGATGCTCACCACCACCAGGGGGCGCTCAGAACCACCAGGGAGTGGTCAGGAAACAAAGGGGTGCTTAGGACCTCCAGGGAGTGCTCAGGACACCTGGGGGTGCTCAGAACCACCAGGGGATGCTCACCACCACCAGGGGGCGCTGAGAACCACCACGGGATGCTCACCACCACCAGGGGGCGCTGAGAACCACCACGGGATGCTCACCACCACCAGGGGGCGCTGAGAACCACCAGGGGGCACTCAGCACCACCAGGGGGCGCTCAGGACACCAGGGGGCGCTCAGAACCACGAGGGGACGCTCAGGACAAGAGGAGAGGTCTCAGAAGCAACAGGGGGCGCTAAGGTCCACGAGAGGGCGCTCAGGACCAGCAGAGGGAGCTCAGGACCACAGGGCGGCACTCAGGACACTAGGTGGCGCTAAAGACAACAATGCTGCACTCAGGACACTGGGGGATACTCAGAACCACTAGGGGGAGCTCAGAACCACCAGGGGGTGCTTAGGACATCAGTGAGAGCTCAAGACATGCAGGTTCTCTTAGGAGGCAGCTCCACATCAGGAGCCTCAGAAGCTGTGGTTTCCTTTTACACCCTGGGAATTCCTGACCTGGTCAAACAAAAGTCTTCCCCAGGATGTCTCACAATTTCTTCCTTTTAATTCCATGATTTATTTTACCTAAAAAACACTAACTTAGAACATGGATGTCATACAACTTTTAATGCTGCGTATTTTCCGAGTAATACTAGCAATGATCTCTCATGACAATTATTAAAATAGGTTATTTATATATTTTAATTATTAAAAATAATACTATTATTAAAATGTAAAAATTTTTAAATCACGCCTGTAATCCCAGCACTTGGGGAGGCTGAGTCAGGCAGATTACTTGAGTTCAAGTAATCCAGGAGTTTTGAACAGCCTGGCAACATAGTGAGATCCTTTCTATACATAAAAGAGAAAACAGCTGAGTGTGGAGCTACCGGCTACTTGAAAAACTGAGGAGGGAGGATTCCTTAAGCCTGGGAGGTGGAGGCTGCAGAGAGCTGTGACTGTGCCTCCACACCCCAGCCTTGGTGACAGAGTGAGACTGTGTCTTAGAAAAAAGATGTGTATCCTCAATACAAACTGTTTCCACGAATAGAGTTTTCTTTTTGTGCTGTAATAGTCAAACAATTGTATATGTTTTCTAACTTTAACTCAGCGTATGCACGGTGTTTTGTTTTTCTTTCATATGCCGTTTGTGGAAATTAAACAGCACTTTAATCTGTATGTTTGGATTTCTACAGAATATAAAATAAATGAAATAGCATATTATGTAGCTTTTTCAGACTTGTTTATTTCACTTAACAATATGCATTTTAGGCTGGGTGCGGTGGCTCAAGCCCATAATCCCAGCACTTTGGGAGGCCAAGACGGGTGGATCACGAGGTCAGGAGATCGAGACCATCTGGGCTAACACGGTGAAACCCCATCTCTACTAAAAAAAATACAAAAAACTAGCTGGGCGTAGTGTCAGGCGTCTGTAGTCCCAGCTACTTGGGAGGCTGAGGCAGTAGAATGGCATAAACCCGGGAGGCGGAGCATGCAGTGAGTTGAGATCCGGCCACTGCACCCCAGCCTGGGTGACAGAGTGAGACTCTGTCTCAAAAAAAAAAAAATTCATTTTAAATTCATTTATGTATATTCATGGTTTGATAGCTTGTTTATAATTGTTGAATACTATTCTACGAATTTACCACTGATTATCTACTCACCTATAGAACTTCTTGAGTGTTGCTAGTTTTGACAAATATGAATGAGCTTACTGTGATTATTCATGTGTACTTTCTGGTCATACATTTAAAGTCAGATAGAGAAATACCTAGAAGCATGACTACTGGATTGCATGTCAAAACCATATTAAGATTTGATGGAATTTGCCTCCCAGAATTTCTGTGAAGTAGATGCACTCAGTTGACCCTGTCTCCTTGCTGGGAGGAAGCCCAGTTCTCAGGGTGGGGCCACCTGGGTGGATCCAGGCCCAGATCCCTCTCGACAATTAGGGATAGCAGCCTGCCCTGTGGATGCACATGTAGGAAGCAGATGCCCCAGACATGCATTGTCCAGGACCACAGATGCTCAGGACTCAGGTGGGAAGGGGTGCACTGAGGAGCAGGTGCTGGGATAGATGAGGAGGGGAGTTTCTGGCCAAATCCTTGGTCATCCTTTAGCAGAACCATGTCTAATTCCTAGGAAAACTTCCACTCCATCATTTGTAACCAATGACCTGAAATGTCCAGGCTCACTCAGTGGATTTAGCTGGAAGTGTGAAAAAACTAAAATGAAAACTACTCAAGTTCATTCTGTGATAACTGATCATTTTTCAGGGAACCCAACAATATTGCTAATAACAATAATGTTCATGTCAAAAGCAATACACACAGTCAGCATAATGGCAGTGTGTCTCATGGTAGAATAAACTTATTTGCTTGAAAATTATGTTCACACCAGTCTGTCCCACAGAAAATCCAACTTTCTCTTCTCATGTCAATGTCAGCATTCTGATCCTCAGAATTGGAAGCAATGTGTCCTCAGGAGACAGGAGGGGAAATCACTAGCATGACCTTGGAGTCCTGGTGCCAGATCCTTCTTCATCTTTGTTGGAATCAAAGACAAAGATTCTGTACCTACTTGAAAGACGTTATAAGCAAATTATGATTTAATTTACAATAATACTATCTCGCACACGTACACACACAGGTTTTTAAAATTTGATTGTTGTCTTTTCCATGATTATTTCTTATAGTGTTCTATATTTATTTAATGTATCAGTTTTACTTTAATTTTATGTAGGTTCCTCATTCCTTCATCTGTGTATTACATTTCCCTAGAACGATCACATATTTTACATACATAGCAATGTAAAGCTCCTGCTTGCAGTTGTCTGTGAAGCAGGCAGGGAGAGTGGAAGGACATGGTTCACACTCCTGACCCTCCCTGCACAGCTGTAAGTTCCCAAAAGCAGAGGACCCTGCTCTGCACCTTCCCTAGGGACAGCTTTATTATTGTTGAGTCTTGTGCTTAATTAATGAGAGTTTCTGTTTCAGGTGTGCAGGTCCAGGTGCAGCTACTGGATCCGGTGAGGAGTGGAAATAAGCTTCCAAAACACAGTGTCACCTGAGAGATAAGAGTCCATCCCTCAAGGACCATCTGAATTCCCGCTTCCTGGACGGAGCCCCAGAATCATAAACACATCTCATATGTGTCCTGCACTGTGTCTTCTGTGTCCCTGCATGCTCAGCAACATCTGTGTGGTGCCACTTACACTTGATGAGATGAGATTCCTTCTGCTTCTTTCATGTCACTGATGATCTCTGAAGCTACTTCAGATTTCTGCTTTAATATGTAAAGAGCATGTCAGTCATCACCCACATTCTTACAAGAATATAAGCGTGGAAAATTGATTATCAATGATTTCTTGGATCTGCTGAATAAGTGAAATTGCAGGGAAACCAGGACCGCAAAACTACAAAGATGTTGAAATAGAGATCATCAGACTGATGGAAAAAACTTTCTGTGGCAATAAGATACCAAATAATAAATGAGACCTAATGCTATGCCAGACAAGGATTAAGTCACTCACCCCTACACTTAAAAAAATAGACTGTGTTGTAACTTCCACAGGGCTTTTTAACAGCTAAACAAGTACTGGTACTGAGATAATCAATATTAAAACATTTGCAGCTCATGGAACTCCAGACACTGCATAACTGTGCGCTTGTTCCACAAGCCATAAATAGAGCTTTGATTGGAGAAGAGACTGATTTCAGTAACTTTCTCCTGATAAGAGATCACTGATCATGGATTGTCCTGGCCAAATTACAAAGGCTGTGTACTGTGTGTCTTTCTGACCCTGTACAAAGCCCTTTTGATGTACCGGGTCCGACTGTAATTCACTTAGTTCTTAAGTGCTCACCCCAAAGCGCACCTGAAATGCATGTAACATGTATGTTTCCTTATTAGATATGAGCGCCTGCCCATGATATGAATATCCGCAGCTCCTTCTATAGCCTGCTGAGCGTGTACACTTGGCCAACCCATTCGCATGAATTCATTTCTCATCTTTCCCTCCCTTGAAGTGTCTGCTCACAGTCTCTGTGGGAGGCTTTGCTTCCCAGCCTGTTAAGGGGACCATCCTGCAGCTTCAACCCTTTCTCAGAAATAAAGTGTCTTTTCTAAATTGATAAATTGGTTGATTCTTCAGTTGACAGCACAAGCTGGTGGGAACAGTTAGATGGTAATTCCATAAACGCCTGGAGGAAGCTGTGGACAGGGAAAGGGTAAGATCTCCTGGGGGGCTGCACACCCCACACTTTGACGGAATTTCCCTCCAGAAACTTCCGGGTTCTCAAGATGAGAATCCAAACAGATACCCTCATGCCTCTGTCATCAGGAGAGCTATACTCTGATAAATACCCCAGAATTTTCTCCAGACAGACCCGACAGATAAAAAATACTTTTCAAGATCTTTATTCTATATGAGGGGAAGGGATTATTTTCCATCCAAGACAGCTTCACTTTAGCCTTCCTGTGTCATGAAAAGGGGTATAATTAATAAAACAACTGGGGTCAGATTCAAGAGAATAATCTGTGGATGCTTCAGCCAGGAGGGGGAGCAGAGGACAGAGGAAAATCAGCTGTATCACTGGAGACTCCTTGTAAGGGGAGCAGCACAGAGAAAGAACAGCAAGAAAGCATTGGAATTCAATTTCAAGAATATATACTGCTCCCCTGCCCACCACATCACCTCCTCACCAATAGGATTCATCTGGATTAAAGAGAAAAGTGTGGCAACACACAGACTCTGTCTAAGGACTAGAACTAAGGGAAACCAAAGGCAGAGGGAGAGAAAAAGTCAAGGACAGTAAAGTGATTTAAAGCCTCTGAGACCAACACCTTCGGGAACAAGGTCAGTACCCCTCCCTCAGTGACTTTAGATATACCTCTCACGGGACATCTGCAGGGTTCTCAGGTGAGAACTAGCCAAGACAATGTGAAGGCACCTTCTGAATCTCCAGCGTTACTGAGCTTACTTTAGTTCTGTCTGGAAAAACAAAACAACAAAAACAACTACCACAAACATAACCAGGACTGGGGCCAGTGCTGGAAGCACTTTTCATTGACAAGATACTAGGAAGGAGGGCAAATCTGAGGCTTGTTACTGCGCAAATATGCCACTGTGAGTGTGTGTATGTTGGGGGGTGGACCTTGAGACACAGGGTTTGTGCGTAAAATTATAATCTGATGTGAACTTCGACCACGGAATCCAAAAAAAAAAAAAAGGTCTGCCCCAAAGTCCCCATCAGTTCCTGGACTCGACATGTGTCTGGACTGTATCAGTGCATCTGGAGCTCCAGGGAAGGGGTTCCCTGGTGGCTTTAGTCATTCCTTGCTTGCTGTGCCGAGGTCTCCCTGTAGGCTTTGTTAGGTTTCCTAAGGTCTATTTTCTATTGTAGGAAGTGGTGTGAGAAGTAGCTGCTGTCCCTGAAGGAGCATTCTGAGCCAGGGCACAGTCACGTCACATTGAGCTTGACACACTGGGAGAAAAATGCTCTGTGAGTCCAGAAAGGAACTTCCCTGCAGGGCATCAGCTGAGCTGCAGAGGGTGCTCAGGATGCACCCAGCACAGGATCCAGCTCTGGGGCAGGTGCACAGGAGGTTGGGGAGGGGTTTTCTCTCAGGGATTGAATATTCCTTATTTCAAAGCAATAATGACATAAAATTTAAATAAGAATTTAGCAAGTACTGATGTGTCTTTAGTATTCTCTTGCATACACAGCCGTTACCTAATGCAAACCGTATTTAAAAGAAGAAATGTCTAGGCCTTTCAAATGTATCTATCGTTAGGAATTGAGGGGTGGTTTTATTAATTCAGTGGGTGTTACTATCAGGAGACACACTCATCCCAGAAGTTAGATGTGCAGAGGGCAAGGCCCAGGAAAGTTCAGGTTGTCCGTGTGCCGTGTGAAAAAGGAATCACAGTGAGGACAATGTCCTGTGAGATTCTGGTTTTCTGTAACAGGAGTTCTGTCTTCATGGACTTCTAAGCATGTCAGATGACAAATATCATTAAACAAGTTCAGGTCATGGAGCTCAGCATCCCACTGTGGAGTGGGCCGTGTGTCACCTATCTTCTTCCTCAGGGTGGGCTGGCTTGAGCTATGAAATACCTGCCTCATGAATATGCAAATGCACTGGTGTCTAGCGAGGTAAATATAGATCTGTCCTTGCCGAGAGAGCATCACACAACAACCACATCCCTCCCCTACAGACGCCCCCAGAGCACAGCACCTCACTATGGACTGGACCTGGAGGCTCCTCCTCTTGGTGGCAGCAGCTACAGGTAAAAGAATCCTCAGTTCCAGGGCTGATGAGGGGACTGGGTCCAGTGAAGTGGTGTCTCATTCACTCCTCTGTCCTCTCCACAGGCGCCCACTCTGAGGTACAGCTGGTGCAGTCTGGGGCTGAGGTGAAGAAGCCTGGGGCCACCGTGAAAATCTCCTGCAAGGCTTCTGGATACACCTTCACCGACTACTACCTGCACTGGGTGCGACAGGCCCCTGGAAAAGGGCTTGAGTGGATGGGACGTGTTGATCCTGAAGATGGTGAAGCAGACTACGCACAGAAGTTCCAGGACAGACTCACCATGACTGCGGACACGTCTACAGACACAGCCTACATGGAGCTGAGCAGCCTGAGATCTGAGGACACGGCCGTGTATTACTGTACGAGAGACACAGTGTGAAAACCCACATCCTGAGAGTGTCAGAAACCCTGAGGGAGGAGGCAGCTGTGCTGGGGCTGTGAAGATGACAGGATTTATGAGGTCTAAATTATTTAGAAGATGGGTTAAGTCACTGAGTAAAAGTAGAAATAGAAAGATATATACATTCCAATCATATAGGAAATAATCTTTTCAACTTTCACCTTATAAGTAACATTCACAGAGTGGGAAAGGCAGCCATCAATCCAGCTGATGCAAACATTCCTTTGTGAGGACATAAATTTTAAAATCGAATGGATAAATCATTTGGAGCAGGATTGCTTGATCACATGGTAAGACTAAATATAATTTCTAAAAAGTGGCCGACATTTCTACCAAAATGTCTTTGCCAGTCCTTTTGCATTAAATTTATTTTAAAACATTTTTAGGATTACAGCAAATTTGAGTAGAATAAACAGAGTTCCCACATACTCCCGCCCAAGACACGCACAGCCTTGTCTGTGATCAACACCCTGCACTGAAGTAATAAATAACTTGCAACAGATGAACTCACATGGACACATTAATTGTCTCCTTTTCTGGTGGTCCCTGGTGTAACAAGCCTAAGCTATCTTGAAGCACCCTGGGTTCTTCCAGTGCATTACATGAAATGACACCAGGTAGAGGGAAAGTGAGTGGGGACGTTCCTCCTTTCACTGCTTCCTCAAGAATCCATAAAATGTAGATTGATTTAGAGCTTATCTGACTCCTGGTTTTCTATGCCCCTACCAAGAGGATAAGGCCTCCAGGCATTTACAGCAGGGGTCCCCAAACGCTAGGCAGTGAACAAGTGGTCCGCAGCCTGTTAGAAACCAGGCCGCCCAGCCTGAAGTGCGTGGTGGGTGAGCATCACTGCCTGAGCTCTGCCTCCTGTCAGATCAGCTGCGCATTAGATTATCCTAGGAGCCGAATTCTAGTGTGAACTGTGCATGTGAGGGATCTAGGTTGCACGCTGTCTGTGGGAACCCAAAGTCTGATGATTGCAGGTGGAGCAGGTTCATTCCGTAACCACCTGCCTCCATTATCCACGGAAAAACTGTCATCCACAAAATCATTCCCTGGTGCCAAAAAGATTGGCACTGCTGGAGTAGAGGCAGGTCTGTGCAACTAAAAGGCCAGCAGCTTCTGGTGAATCCTATAATTAATGTCATTTAACGAGCACTGGAGACTCGTCGTGAGGGACTTTGTAAATAATGCCCTTCAGTTGGATTCAAAACACTATAAGCTCTTGGGGAGTGTTTCTGGATAAAGCACTTTGTGCAGAAAATGCAAACACATGCGTGGGATCCAGGCAGGAACAAAAGATTCCTTTACAAAGTGGTTTGGCACCTGGAAGGAGCTCTCAGGGTTGGGCACTGTATCCTTTGCTGGCTGCACTTTAGCCAGAGGCCTGAGTCTCACTGGCCTTGCAGCGGGAGAGCTTCCCTGGGGTCACAGGTTACAAAAGTACCTGTCATCCTCCAGCTGAGCAAGCCCATCGCGCGCTTATCAGTGTCAACCCCATGAGGGGCACACTCGGGAAGGTGACAAGATGCTCACAAACCTCCCCCCATTAATTATCCACCACCACACACTCAACTGCAACCCGTGCTCCAGAAAGGGACAGGGGCCTGCAGGGATAAACAGAACGGAAGTATTTCCTTACCTGGGAAAGACACTGCCAAATACCCCATGTTTCAGGAAGGTTAACTCATAATTGTTCAGGAAGTGACTGAAGGACAGTGGTGGGTGAGGTGACGGGACATCCTCAGGGCTGCACATGAGGAGGGTTCCCTCCCCACGCAAGCTTTTCCTCCAGGAGCTGCACCAGGAACTCATAGAGGATCAGGAAGGATTCTGAGAACATTCTTCTGTGGTGCTGCCTAGAGGGGTAAAATACAAAAAAAATCAGTTCTAAACAAAGTATGACACTTGTTATTAGAAACTATATCTGAAACCTGTGGGAATCCTGACATAACACACCATTATCTGTGAACAAATATTTAACCCCTCCTTCCATGGGGAGGTCGACGAGGTTGGATCAGTTCTTTCATGAATAATATCCCCCAAACTCCTCTCCACTCCCTGCATATCCCCGGGTCTCTCAGTGACAAGCGCTCCTCCATGGAATGTGCTTGCTGTAGGGAGATCTTCAATTTTCCCGTCTTCTGTTTTCTTGTGTTTCTCTCCTCCTCTGAGATTAAGAAACTTGCCTGCATGTAGTACATCAGAGTCTAATATCTCTCATGGACAAAACAGTGGGCAAACCAATCAACCATGTGACTGACAGCAACCACCGGCGGCCACCATCCCCTCCACAGCCCTGTGTCAGATCATCACCTGAGAGATTGTATTTGCAACTTTCTTTCACAAGCATCTTAAAACCGTTGCATCCGATTTCACAAGGAGATGTCATCTATCCATTTCCTCTTCCTAGAGAGCAAAAGGAGATGAATACCATATACACTTCATCTCTCTGGATTATTCAAATCTAATTGTTCCTTTATCACCTTCTGATTTCTGGTCTACACAGAACACTCTACAAATTTTTCTCACTGGTGTTATACCAAAACTGATACATATTCAAGATACTGGAATAATTTCAAGCTACATTATTACTCTAATAATTCCAAGAATTTAGAATTACAATTATCCTCTTTTCTCTCTTTTTTTTTTTTTTTTTTTTTTT